CAATTCATCTTCACAATATCACTCAATTCACAATCTAACGATGGACGACGATACAGTTTACTCTCCCTCGCTCAAAAACAAACTCAAACAATCCCTCTGCTTCTCCTGCTGCTTCGGCCGCCGCCGCGGCCACCACCACCCTCTGAACTCCCTGCCTCCGTCGAGTTTTGTTTCGGACGATAAGCCTAAGGTGATTTGGGTCAAACCAAAGGGACAGCCTGACCTGGCTCTGTCTGATGTCAAAATGAAGCGCCGAACGATGCTTGGTTTCAGTGTGACTAAGCATAAGAGATATTCGTCGGCGGAATTCAGCTACGACCCCCTCAGTTATGCTCTGAACTTTGAAGATGGATGTGATGATGACGACGAAGCTCCGTTTAGGAATTTCACTGCTAGGTTGCCAGCGTCCCCGCCGGTGAAGCCGCGGCATATTCCGGCAGTTAGTTGAGGATTTTATGGGATTCTATTTCCATTTCCATTTCCTTACGGTTTTTTTTTTCAATTGTGCCGGTATACAAGGCTGTAGGAGTTTCAATTCAAGAGAATAATTCTATTTGGGTGCTAACATAGTGAGTGAAAGTGTACATACTGATTTTGCTTTGAACTGCTTGAAATTTGCATTTATTTCATCCTTTTCTTTTGATTAAATTGGGGATATCATTTAAGTTACTAAATTTAGTGAAAATGCTCTCTTGCAATTCAGTTCTGAATGTTGTCTTCTAAAATGGATAGGTATGGAAAATTACAAAACATATTATTAAGGATCCATTTGATAGGATGTTTGAAGAGTTCAAATATTTTTTGAATTTAAGAATCTCTTTTTGAATATATTTAGATAANTTTTGAATTTAAGAATCTCTTTTTGAATATATTTAGATAACTTTCTAAAGAGTCGGGATTCAGGATTAGATTACAGGTCGAGCTATAGCCCAGCCCCCCAGATCCGTTAGTGTAAAGAGTAATGCTATTCGTAGTAAAAACTATCGGTAATTGGCATACAAATGACAGTTTGTTGATGCATGTACATGCTACGTATGACGACTCTCGATAATTTTTACCATGAATAACATTATTCTTTTCTAAAAATATTTTGTCTCACTAAAAGAGTTTTTAGATAAAGTTGGCGTAACTTCTCAAAAAGCTCTTCCACAAAAAGAATACCTTTCAAAAGAGCCCTAAATGCTTGTGGTAAAAATGCATTTCACTCTAGCGCTCGAAAATAATATTTCAAAACTTTGTGAACACTTATGTTACACTCGTTATACAACCTATTAAAGTCAACTTCAGTATGAAATAAGATTGAAGATTAAACAAAATCTTTCACTAATATAATTATGTAACATTAATTTTATGTTCAATTTTATAGCTTTTTTGTCGTGCAATTCTTCTCAATCGACGAATTAATTTAACTCTCAAAACGTCTAACATTCTTGATCCTGCTTGCAGTATAAAATATTTTGCACTGTATAATGTTTTTGTTTCTAATTTAATGTTGCTTTTTTTCTTTTTTTTTTTTTCATAAAGGATTTAAATATTTCTTTAATGTGTAGAAGAAAAATATCATGCTGAAAACAATAAAAAAAGGGGTGCGAAAGATTTGAATGGTTGTTAACAAAGGATTAGTCAATTTCATATGAACCCAACTTCGGTTTAAAGTTTGATTGAACACTGAAGGGTCGAATAAGGAGCACACACCAAGAATAATATTATATTTTATTCCGTATATTTCCCTTTCTCTCTCTAGTGGGGGAGAAAAAAATAATTTATCTACCCGTAATATTTTAATTGAAAATAAAAAGATATCTTAAGTCAATGATGAAATATGTAAAAAATATATATATAAAAAAGAAATAAACTTTCATTGATGACAAAGACGGCTTTTCCGTCGACAATCAGAGATTTAACAGAATATGGTTCTATCCTCATCCAGCTGGAGTGCTCAGGTGTCAAAGATCACGTGTGATTCATCTGTTGTAGGCTTGATATTTTAGATGAATAGCTAATTTTCCCGCCTTATATCATTTCCAGCTTGTATTTATATTTGGGAACTTTTCATTCTTCAGTTGAGTTGAATAAGATTTTTTCTCAATACATTTCTTCTTGTAATATGGTATCAGAGCAATTTGCTTGCTTCTTCATTGCCATAACACTGTTCTTCTAGTTCGTATTTCTTCTGTATCTCCATGGCAGAATTTGATTTTCATAATCAGACATCCCAATCATCTTCAATAAACCATTCCGGTATTCATGATGAATCAAGCCCTTTTTTCTTGCACCACTTAGATAGTCCAAGATTAATCCGGTATCCCAGCCATTGGTGGGAGACAGTTACAGTTCATGGAATCGAGCTATGATAATAGCTTTGTCTGTGAAAAACAAATTAGGATTTGTGGATGGATCCATAGCCAAACCAGAAGAAAATCCAGATCTGCTGAAAGCTTGGATCAGAAACAACATGGTAATTTCGTGGATTCTCAATTCTATCTCCAAGGATATATTAGCAAGCATCATATATTCTGATTCTGCACAAGAGATTTGGGAGGATCTCAAGGTGCGATACCAGCAGAAAAATGGCCATCGTATATTCCAATTGAGAAGAGAACTCATGAACCACAGTCAAGGACAGTCACCTGTGAGTGTTTATTTCACAAAATTAAAAACTATCTGGGAGGAATTGAACAACTATAGACCGGTTTGCTCATGTGGAAAGTGTGAATGTGGAGGTGTGAAGAAAATGACCGATCACTACCATATGGAATATGTAATGTCCTTTTTAATAGGACTGAATGATTCCTATGCTCAAGTCAGAGGTCAAATATTGATGATGGATCATGTTCCATTGATAAACAAGGTGTTTGCTCTCATCTCTCAAGACGAACACCAACGATCTGTCAATACCAACACATATGGTAATGCTGATAATACTGATAATATGGCCTTTTATGTTAGAAATGAAGGGAAGAAACATACTAAATGTCAATTACTAAATAAATTCCAGAAAGTGGAGAAACCAGTATGCACTTATTGCGGATATATAGGACATGGAGTTGATAAGTGTTACAAGCTCCATGGGTATCTACCAGGATACAAGCCTAAGCAGAAACCTGGTTCTAGTCTGCAAGCAAATCATGGTGCAGCCCATCAGATTTCAAGCTCTTTATCAGATCATCATAGTCAGGTAGGAGGAAATGTTGATGAATTTATGCAAACTCTGAATCATTCTCAATACCAGCAACTGATGAGTATGCTAAGCAATCATCTCATCACTGCAAAGAACAATGCAGAAATAGGTAACAGTAAATCATCTAGCCACATCTCAGGTACTTGTTTCTCTGTACATTTCAATCGAATGTTGAACTCTCATACACATTGGGTATTGGATTCTAGAGCCACAAGTCATATTTGCTCCAATCGAACGGCCTTTCATATATTGAAACCAATCAAGATTGCATACATTACACTGCCAAACAATGAAAGAATTTCTATTAAGTACGATGGAACTGTGAAGATCACTCCTGAACTTGTGCTTGAGGATGTGTTATATGTTCCTCAGTTTAGATTCAACCTATTGTCTATTAGTTCACTGACTAAGAATTTACCTATCAGCGTCAACTTTCTTACTGATTACTGTAATATTCAGGATCAAGGCAACAAGAAGATGATTGGCAAGGGTAGTAAGATGGAGGGCCTATACATATTGGATGCTGCATCTTCAAATTCTATTTTAACTGGTTGTAATAGCTTTGATTCTACATATTGTGTTGTAAATAATGTGGTTGTAATAGCTTTGATTCTACATATTGTGTTGTAAATAATGTGATCTCTCAGACTTGGCATGATAGACTTGGTCACCTTTCCTTTCAGAAGTTAGACTTTATGAAGAAACTACTGAATATTGCCTGTAATAGTCACAAGAATTTCTTCACAGATCCATGTAATATTTGCCCTTTAGCAAAACATAGAAGACTATCTTTTGTGTCTAACAATCATTTGTCCAAGAATGCTTTTAACTTAATACACCGTGACACCTGGGGTCCTTACCACATCCCAATACATGCTGGCCATAGATTCTTTGTGACACTGGTGGATGATTGTACCCGTTTTACATGGGTTTATCTCATGAAGCATAAATCTGATGTAAAGCTCATCATACCAAGGTTCTTTGCTTTGATTGAAACTCAGTTACATACTGTTATTAAGAAGTTTACATTAGATCATGCTCCGGAACTTCAGTTTGCCGAGTTTTTTTGCCTCAAAAGGAGTTATTTACCAATATTCATGTGTTGAAAGGCCTGAGCAAAATTCTGTTGTAGAGAGAAAACACCAGCATTTACTTAATGTAGTAAGGGCATTATTCTTCCAATCTCGTGTTCCTATCCAATTCTGGGATGAGTGCATTCACAGCTACCTATCTGATCAACAGGACACCATCTTCGATTCTGAAAAACGAAGTCCCTTTATGTCTTCTATATAAATCTCCTGTCCAATATCGGTCCCTTAGAGTCTTTGGTAGCCTGTGCTTTACCTCTACTTTATCATCAAATCGAACAAAACTCCATCCAAGAGCCAAGACATGTGTCTTTATTAGATATCCTCCTGGTGTCAAATGGTATAAGCTCTATGACATCACTTCAAGGTCCTTTTTTTTGTTTCAAGGGATGTGAAATTCTATGAGCATCTTTTTCCATTTCACACTATATCTCATGAAAATGAACCTGTTGATCCCTTTCCTGATTTTGTTCTCCCTAAATCTGCCACTAATATTGTCCACAACCCTGAGAATATTTCACCACATACCAATAATCCTATGTCTCCTTCCATCAGTCTAAGTGCTAATCCTGCCAATGATACCCATGTACCTCTTCTTCCAAGCCCAGATCAAGATCCAACCTCATCCATGATACCAACTCCTAGAAGATCACATAGACAACACAAAACACCATCATACCTCCAGGAATTTCACTGCAATTTGTTGACAAACACTCCTACTTCTTTTGATCACCATACTCAGTATCCAATCAGTAAATACTTGTCTTACCAAAAATTTTCACCTTCTTATCGTACCTACCTTTGTTACATTTCTTCCAGCTATGAGCCTCAATTTTATCACCAGGCAGTTAAATTTGATCATTGGAGAAAAGCCATGGAAGCTGAGTTAGAAGCAATGGAACAGAATTACACTTGGTCTATGGTTCATTTGCCTAAAAACAAACACTCCATAGGCTGCAAATGGGTGTTCAAAATTAAGCATAAATCAGATGGAAGTGTTGAAAGATACAACGCACGTTTAGTGGCAAAAGGTTATACTCAACAAGAAGGCCTAGACTTTTTCGAAATATTTTCCCCCGTAGCAAAATTGGTGATGGTTAAAATGTTTCTTGCTGTGGCTGCCATACATAAATGGCAAATCATTCAATTGGATGTAAATAATGCGTTTTTGAATGGTGA